TGCAAACCACAGATGAATTACGACAAGCTGAGCCGGGCCCTCAGGTGAGAGAAAGGATTCCCAGATCCACGGTTTTAAGAGATTGGAAGGAGACGAAGCAGTTGGGTGAATGTTGGATAGAAAGGGTGTCAGGTGGTAAGAGACTGCTCTATCGAACTGAATAGCAACGTGTGGCTTTAAAGTGGGCGTGTAAGAGCTTCTGGATCTGAGTAGCACAGGCACAGGAGGGAAAGGCATATCTTTGGTCATATGTAGGAGGGATTCCAGCGTGGTTGGCATCGGATCCTGACAGACAACCGAGTCCGCTCTGCAGTGGGCGAGGGCGTGTGGTGAAACATGGATTGGAGCTCACTTAGAATCCAAAGGATGAGTTTAGACTTCCCTGTTAGAGGTTGGTTAGACTTTCTCTCTTTAGGCTTTCCTAGAAGAAACGGAAAAGTGAGGCAAGCACGCGGGAGGAGGGTTCGCTGGATGGCAGTGACCTCACCTTTCAGCAGCCGTATCTGGGAGCTCCGTTGTCGGTCCAGAGGTCGCTCCAGCAGGTCTAAAGATTGACCACTTCAAGGTTTCTTGGGTTCTTTTTTTCTCCCCTTGTCAGTTTTTACATTTCATAACCCGTTAGCCCTCAAGGGGCCAGAAGGTAGGTTATAACCCGTGATGCTGAATAGATGCGATGCCAGAGGCTCCGGGTCCGTTGAAGCCCCTGCCTCTCTTCCTTCTTAGCGACCTTGAGCGTCAAATCTGCGGCAGCTGTGCTGGAGCCGCTCTCATCCTCGTGAAAATGAGGCAGGCCAGGCCGACAGCTGTTTCCCAGATCAGGGTACGCGACTTGTTTGACCTGCCACCATCAAACGGTTCTGCGTTTCTGGGTCTGCGCTTTGCGCTCAGGTCTCCGGACTAGCCTTATCAGGTCTCCCAAGAGACTAGTCTGCCCCCACCTGGGCAAGGCGGCGACGTACAGTGGGATAGGAAGGAAAGAGAGAATGGAACTGAAAGTGTAGAGCGACGGACGACAAAAAGGTGGCTGGGGCTGGGATAGGTGTTCAGGATCTGAGAGCGCGATTGTCTTTGTAAAGCCCTAGCCAGGCACTAGAACCTAGTTTGAAAATGGAATGGGAAATGGAAGCTCTTAGGTCTCCCAGCCCTAACCTGAAGGCCAGGCTGCGGAAGGATAGTGATGTTTCCGTGTAATTTAGAGCAAGAACCGTTTGTCTCGGTGGTTACCTAAGCGTATCAAGAACTGTCAGTAGCTAGAAGGTAAATTGACACGTATTCCTATTTTTACAGATACTATTATAACAAGAGGATCCTTCATAAAACAAAAGGGAAAAGATTTACTTATAAATTTAACTTCAACAAGCTGGTGATGCCTAACTACCCATTCATCAACATCCGGTCAAGTGGTAAGAAGCAGACTGTTCTGGGGGGCAGGGGGCGGGGGGGATGAATTTTGAATTGAGAAAGGATTTTAAAAGCCCAAGTCTAAGACCTGGCATGTTGAAGGATTTTTAGAAGTGCTGAAGTCAGGTGGATTGCCTCCAGGGTCTTGTTCAGGTTTCCCTATTTGTCCCGTACAGGGAGTGACAGCCTCTGCAGCCTCAGAAGAGGTGTGTTTAGTTGTGTCTTTGGTTCCCTTTTCTACATGTTATTTGTATCTCCCAGATATTCTTGCTCTGTCTTCTTTAGGAACTATGTTCCACAGGTCTGTGTTCATCTTTCAGGTCAGAACTCAGAGTGTTAACACCCTGCCCAGAGGCTCTTTCATAGACGAGGGCCTGTTTCTACAAACACTTCCGATTTTCTATGAAACTACCAAGCTCTCCCTTATCGAGTGAATATCATCAAAACCACAGCATCCTTAATCACAGAAGGGGAGGTTCATATGTTTGCAGTGAAAAGCAGGGTCTTTGATCTGCACTAGCAACTCCTCAGAGACTAAGATCTGGGGTTGTTTGACCTTCTTTCCTCTTACGTGCAGCAAGGCTCCCTCTAGACTCTCCTCTAACCACTTTCCATCACCACTCCTCACGAAGAGTTGAGGTCTGCCTCTGCCCGTGCAGAAGGCACCCTCTTAGAACGGGTTTGCTTTTGTTTTGTTTCAGATGGAAGTCTTATCCCTGTCCAAGAAAACAGATTGTATTTAGTTTCTGACCAGCCCATCAATACTGTGTTTTTGTGGAGTTGTGTGTTAAGGCAAAGAAATCTGATTGTAATTCTGCAGATTCTGAGTTCTCAGAGAAAAGTTGGAAGAAACTTGAAAAATCAGAGCGGGGGTGTGGCCGGGAGAATATACTGCTGAGATCCATTGTAGATAGGTAATTACTACACACAACAAGTTAGGGCAGTTTTAGCTTGACTCTCCTATCGGTAAAGTCCTGTCTCTCCTGTAGCCACTCCCTCCTATCCCTGGGGCATGCGCTTGAAAAAAAAAAAAAAAGTGGTATTGGAATGCATCTCTCTAATTACAACCTGTTTTCTTTCCTTGTGCCTGAGGGAGAGGTGTTAGGAAATCAGACCTATTCTAGTCGCTGGAATCTTGTTTCCTCTGTTTTCGCTCCTGTCCCCTTCTGCGTACCTAAGGGAATTGAGACTATGGATGGGTAGTACACCAACAATTTTGAAGAAAATGTTGGTGTTCCATACCTCCTGCCTGAAAAAAGGTTCACTGCTTTTGTTTGGACCCATTTTTTCCTATTGAAAACCCTAAAGTCCAGCCAGCCACTTGAAGAGCCTGGAATGGGACACATCCAGTAGCCCTTGGGAGTTATATGCTTTTCCTGGGCAGGAAAATCGGGCCCCTCCCTCTGTGAAGTCTCTGGTGTGCTAGCCCAACAGTACTGGCCTAGCACAGCCTGTTCTCCCTGATGAAAGCAATCGGACCAGCCTTGATCCTTAACTAAGCTCAGGACCCTGATCGAATGAAAAGTCACAGGGAAGGGAAAAGAGTATACATTTTGTTTGTGTACACCACTTGGTTGCATACGTCCTGGGTACAGATAACTCCACAAAGAACTGGAGTCATCAGTTCATAAAGGACTTTTACCCAGACCAAATGTTGTTTCAGGTTTAACTTTTATGATGACGGGGAAATGTGACATTTATTGAACAACTGCTTAATGGAGGTACTTCTGCTGGGTGTGTTTATGAATTCTGTCATTTAACTCTCCCAGCCTACTAAACTATACATCTCCAGATTCACATCTTACAGGTGATAAAATGACGGATGACGGCAAAGTCAGAGATCGATGAGGGCAGGTTGAGTAGAGTTATTGTACAGAGTTGTTGAATAGTTTCTCAGGAAACAGTTCCCGAGAGACCGAGCTATTGACACTCACTCTTGTTTATTAATAGGTCATACTTTCCTCCCCCAAATTGGGATTCATTCGTTTGCTCAACAGATAACGTGTTAAGTCCTGAAGACAAAAAGAAAAGATTACGGAGGAGTTCTTTCCCTCAAGGAACTTAAAATTTAGCGGGAGAGATCAGATATATGAGGTCTAGCACAATTCGGAGTAACGGTGTGAAATGTGATAAGCACTCTCCGTAGCAGAGCCCTGTGGATTTTGATTCTGGAGGTCAGACGGGTCATGTCCAGATGGTGGTGATATGTGTGTGCTTTTAGGAAACAGTAGATGCTGATGGTAACATACCCAAATAATACAGAAACTTAGAGTGAAAAGCAGAGTGAGCACTCTTTTGCCTTCCTGGCAGTCCTCGCTGTTGACAGTTTAGGGTAGGGTGCTTAACATGTGGGTGGCATCAGAAGTACTTCTACGTACAGCATTTCATGTTTATCTTGAAAGCGTGCTATGAAATACGTTATTGTATATGTGTCTTTTAACGTTTACTGTCTTTGCATAAGAAACATTGGGAAGATGCAGAAGGTACTAGTGAAAATGGTTACCCGTCAGGGTGGGGAGTGGGCAGGACAGGCCATTCCAAGGAGGGATTTGAGAGCTCTTACTCTGTGCCTCCCCACCCCCAGCCTGGGTTTTTACAGTTCTCTTTATTTTGGAAAACTTTAAACCTATGAAAAAAAAATTGCAAAAAATAGAACAGTGATTCCTCCATCTAGATTCACTAATGGTCGACGTCGTTGCCACATTTGCTTTTTCTCTCTTTTTTTTTTTTTTTACGTTTATTTTTGAAAGAGAAATTGAGAGAGAGAAGGCTCTGTCAGCGCAGAGCCTGATGTGGGGCTCAAACTCACCAACGAGTCTTTTTGAGGTTGGAGTTGCAGACAACACGACATTTCTCCCATGTTCCCCCCGTAGGTCCAAGGACCTTCTCTTCCACAACCACAATAACATTAACACACCCAGGAAATAAGACATTGCTCTAATACTCTTGTCTAACATATGGTACGTAATCAAACTACGTGTCTTTTACAGTTTTTATTTTTATTTTTTTTTTCAACATTTATTTATTTTTGGGACAGAGAGAGACAGAGCATGAACGGGCGAGGGGCAGAGAGAGAGGGAGACACAGAATCGGAAACAGGCTCCAGGCTCTGAGCCATCAGCCCAGAGCCCGATGCGGGGCTCGAACTCACGGACCGGACCGTGAGATCGTGACCTGGTTGAAGTCGGACGCTTAACCGACTGCGCCACCCAGGCACCCCTACAGTTTTTATTTTTAAACGATGATTACTGTGTAGTAAAAAATTACTCGTTGTAACAAATAGTTAACGTAGTTAGCTGTGTGCCAGTACTATCCTAAGTACTTTATAAAAATATTAAACCTTCTACTTATTATTTTTTTAAAGTTTTTTGTTTTTATTTATTTTGAGAGATAGAGAGCAAATAAGGGAGCGACAGAGAGAGAGACAGAATCCCAGGCAGGCTCTGTGCTGTCCACACAGAGCCCGACTCGGAGCTCGATCTCACGAACCATGAGATTATGACCTGAGCTGAAATCAAGAGTCAGACACTTAACTGACTGAGCCACCCGGGTGCTGCAACCCCTTTAGTTTTTATAACATGAGGATTAGTCCTTTTACTATCCATTTTACAGGTAAGGAAACTGAGGCACAGAAAGATGAGTAAATTATCCAGAGTCACACAGCTAATAAGTGGTAGGGCGAGGGTTTGAAAGTAGGCAACGGTCCTGTTATTTCCATTTTGCAAAAAGGGATTAAAAGCCAGTTGGTTACAGGTCACAAGGTAGAAGGTGCCAGAACTGAGATTGAATGTCTTTTTTTATTTTTTTTAATGTGTATTTATTTTTGAGAGAGAGAGAGAGGGAGACAGAGTTTCCAGAATGGGCTGTGCACCATCAGCACAGAGCCCGATGGGAGCTTGAACTCATGAGCTGCGAGATCAGGCCCCGAGTCGAAGTCGGACGTTCAACTGACTGAGCCACCCAGGTGCCCCCAGAACTGAGATTCAAACCCAGATTTTCCAGCCTTGCCACCCAGATTTCATAGTGGCTCCTCGAAGGCGGTCTTGTTCTAAAGCAGTGTTATTCAAAGTGTTTTAAGCAGCAAGCTCAGTTTTTCAAACAAAATCTTAGATTTGTTCTCTCAGCACATCTACCCCATAGAAAAGTGTTGCTGCTACTCAGCGTGGGAGGCGAGGGCCCATAGTGCTGCCCCAGCGCGTGTGTTCTCTGTTCTTATTGCAAATCAGCATACCTTAGCCTGTGTGAAGAAGGAAGTAGAAGTTTAAAAAAAAAAAAAAAAACAGACTGTCTAGGAGACAGGACCTTCCTCCCTCCCTGCCGCTCCCCAGAACACACCTTCCGAACACATAGAAGCAGCTTTTTTGCTTTTCGGTACATGTGCTCTTAATACAAAATTAAGACGCAAATGAGTCCAAAAGAGAATTTTAGCCACTAATAGGCTGGTAGAAGAGATCCTTTTGGCCTGAGACGACCTTGATGCTACTCGGATTGTATATACAAGGTCATCTACCAGTTTTTCCAGTTGTAAGATTGAGTTACTGGCTTTAGGGGAAAAAGGCCCTACGGAGCCGTTTCCACGGAACTTCGGTTTGGGAAATGCTACTCTGGCACAGTTCCTCAGTCGCGTGTGCCTAGAAAGCCACAGTGCACAGCCCGGCCACCTGTAGAGTCCTGGCTGAGGATGGCCCATTGTGTCAGCAACGGAAGGGGGCAACTGATGGGGGCGCTTTCCGACCACACCAGGCCTTACACCCTCTTGTTTCTTCTCCTTGGTCTGGTACTTTCATTTACTTGGCTTTTCTTATTTTTTCCTTCTCCCGTATCTCTGCCTCAAGAGTGTAGAAAGCCCTCCTGACATCATCACTGATAGAAGCCACTGGTACCTCCCAGGGGCCCAAAGGGTCTCTGAGGCCTCAGATGGCATCCCTTTCCTCTGACTTGTTTATAGAAGGACCTTGGGGGGAGTTGAGAACTCGCAGGCCTCTGAGGCTGATGTTTAGTGTGGTGTTGGTTTTTGCATCAGTTAAAGTTTCGGTACCAGCAGGCAGACGTGGGAGAGGGGGTGGTAGGTCCTCCGTTTTCTCCCAGCCTCTTCAGTGCTTGAAAGCAGGATGGGAACAGAGAGCATTGTATGGAATTTGTTAGAGGAAAATAGATTTACAGACATCAAAAAATACTTGAATCTCTGTAGTGATTGTGTATCAGAAATGACAAAGGATCTACCACAGCAACTCACTTTAGTAAACACATGGCCTTTTCTTTTTTAAGCTGTTTTTGCTCTTAAATATGGTCTTGTTCGTGACCTTGTATGTGAGGTGCAGAGTCTTTGGGCTTTTAATGCATTGCTTTACATACATGTCCTTTCCAGTTTTGTTTGTGTTTGATTTGCTCGCTTGTTTTATTGATACAGCCCAAACTATGAAAGTAAAAAAGAGGGGCACCTGAGGGGCTCAGTACATTTTTTTATAAAAATAAAAAAAGACTCTTTGCAAAGCTGAGAATTGCAACAGGTGATACACGCACAGTAGTTTGAGTCGCCGAGGAGAAGGCTCGTGTGCCCATCTGTTCGTCCCGCTGACCCAGACTGGGCCCCGACGAACCCGTCGACCCCCAGCTGCTTTATTACATCTAGTTGCAAACAACGGGGAGTCCCCACCGTGGTGGACGTGATGTTGGAGGACAGACAAATAAGAAATGTGATTTCGGACGCCCGGCGGGCAGGAGGCTAGGGGAGCCCACAGCAGCCGCCTCCTGGGGAGGGAGCTGAGCTGCAGCTGCTGGGGGGGAGGGGGAGGGGGAGGGGCAGAGCGCGTGCTTCCTGCTGTGTGCGCCCCCCCCCCCCCCCCCGTGCTGCTTATCAGAGTGCTGCTTATCAGGCTGAGCGTGCCCTCGGTGGGTGACCAGTCCTCTAAAGTGGCCTTTGTCTCCTCCGCCCCCACAGGTGTGGTCCCCCAGAGTGCGCCACCAGTGCCGACGGCCTCTTCCCGGTTCCATTTCCCCCCTCTGGACACCCATTCTCCGACGGGCGACGTGCAGCCCGGGCGGTTCTCCGCCGGCTCCCTCGCCGCTTCTGGCCAGGAGTCCGGTAACGGCGCCGAGAGAAAGGCGGAGCTGCCGGAGCTGGACGACGGCTCGGCCGCCGACTGGCGCCGGGGCGTGGACCTCCTGTCCTCGCGGAGTGCCGTCGGTGCGGGAGGGATCGGCCATCAGAAACGCAAGCCGGACATCATGCTTCCTCTGTTCACCAGGCCCGGGATGTACCCTGACCCCCACAGCCCCTTCGCCGTCTCTCCGCTCCCTGGCCGTGGAGGCGTTCTCAACGTCCCCATCTCCCCAGCCCTGTCCCTGACGCCCACCATCTTCTCCTACAGCCCGTCCCCGGGCCTGAGCCCCTTCGCCGGCAGCGGCTGCTTCTCCTTCAACCCCGAGGAAATGAAACACTACCTTCATTCTCAAGCCTGCTCCGTGTTCAACTACCACCTGAGTCCGCGGACATTCCCCCGTTACCCGGGCCTCGTGGTCCCGCCTCTGCAGTGCCAGATGCATCCTGAGGAGTCGGCCCAGTTTTCCATCAAGCTGCAGCCCCCGCCAGCTGGGCGGAAGAACCGGGAGAGGGTGGAGAGCAGCGAGGAGTCCGCCCCCGTCACTGCTCCCCCCGTGGCTCCCGTCCCCCCGAGAATTAAGGTGGAGCCGGCCTCCGACAAGGATCCGGAGAGCCTCGGGCAGTTGGCGCGGGAGGAGGAGCGCTCCCAGGAAGAGGGCCCTGTGCCGGGCAGGACCACGGAGGAGGAGAAGGGCACCCTCTTTGCCCGCCCGGCTGTGCCGGTCTGGCCCTCCGCACCCGTCGGCACCCCGAGCGAAGAGCCCCTAGAGGTGGCTGAAGACAGTGAGGACAGGCCTGGCAGAGAGCCCAACGCGCCTGAGAAGAAAGAAGACGCCCTGATGCCCCCCAAGCTCCGGTTGAAGCGGCGTTGGAACGATGGCCCTGGAGCCCGCCAGCCGAGTAAGAACGGCGCGGCCCTCTGGAGGGGGCCGGGACCCCGGGGCTTGGCCGCGGCCGCCGACGCCTAGAACTGGCGGGGGGTCGGGGACCGTTTGTACTCTAGTCACACGCGTCCGTGTATTTATGTAGCGAGATTGGGGGGGGGGGGGTGGGGGGAGGGAGTTAGACCGGTTTGATCATTCTAGGGGCATAGACTTGTATTTTTATGTTTGGGGGACGGGATGGGCATCTTCTGTTGTAAATTAGGTGGGGTATGAACACTTTCCCTGGTGAGTAGCACGCGGGGAGGTCGATGAACTGAGAGGAGGAGGGGCCTCCGCTTCTTGGGGAGGCTCACACTTCCCGACAAACTCTCTCGGGGGTCTCGCTACGCCTGGCCCCGTCTAGTTCAGGTTCCAGACTTCTTTTCTATTGTATTTATATATGGAAAGCCATTAATGAATTTCTTTTGCTCTGAGAGATACACGTAAAAGGGAATAGGGCGTGATCAGGAGGGTGAGTGGGGAGAGCCCATTCATACTATGGGTGTCGCCTGAGATGTTTCTGTATAATTATTTCAGGGGAGGAATGAGATAACCTGTCTTACTGGGATGGGGGGGGCGTGTTCCGAAGTTGTTTTTTTCCTCTTTTCCTTTGTTGTCGTTTGGCGTTTTTTTTTTTTTTTTAAAAAAAAAAAAAAAACGTTTGCAGGAAACATGAGACGTTTGCGCCGGTCACAGGCGGGGGGTTCCACGGGGGTGGGGCCGGGGGCCCCACTGCAGGTTTCTCCGACTTACCCGACTTACCCCTGCTTCCCGTAGTGAGGAGCCCGTGAGGAGCTGTAAACTCTGGTTCGGGGAAGCAAGAAGAGGGCAGGAGGACATAACCCAATGCCTTTAAAAACAAAACACATACAAAAATGATCTTCGTCTTTTCTTCTCCATCGTGGGTTTGGAGAGCCAGGCTGCAGCGTGGCCGTGGGCGCGCTGAGCAGCACGACGTGGGAGATGTCTTTGCGTTGCGTCTGGTTCTCTGGCTGTTTCTTAAGTCGAGCCTTAACAATGAGCATACTTTCACCTGATACGGGTCTGTCAGCAGAAGCCCAGAGAAGGGCACGGACAACTTTGCAGACAAGCCAGGAGCGTCGAAACAGGGTTAAGTTTCGAGTTGGCATTTAGTTGTTCCCTGAGCGTCACCAGGACGGGAAGCAGGACGGCGGGATTGTGGGCGACAGGGGCAGGTGATACCTGGAAATTCAGAAGGTAGCCGGGGTGCGAGTGGATGTCGGTGGAGACTGAAGGGCGAGGCGGGCGGAGACACAGAAGGCGGCCAGATGCCAAGAGCCTGGGGGGAGCGCGGGAGTTGGTGTCCGTCCTGTCGTGGTGGTGCCATTCCTGATGTACCCATTTCCCTAGATTGTTCTAATCCTCCTGATCAGCTGGCCGTCCCCCACCCCCACCCCCACCCCCACCCCCCGAGACTCCAGTTTACAGACGGCGAGGAGCGGTTTCTCCATGGTGAATCCCCTTCCCTCGGCACGAAGGAACGGGAAAGTACTGCTCTTACGTGAAGTGAGAGAGACCTGACTGGGGGCAGAGAGAAGCCACAGCCACCCGCGTGCGCACACGCGTAACTGCGAGGTGTGCCGAGACGCCGGACCGGCTCACGTCTGCCTGGCGTCCAGGAGGCAGGGAGAGAGGAGATGACTCCATATCCGACGGAGGCAGGGAGCGGGCACAGGGACGCTGTCTAGGAAGTGGCGAAATCCCTGACTGCACCTTAGCCTGAGGAAACCGTATACTAAGAAGCATTCAAAGGTGGTCTTTTAATGGGGGGGGGGTCTTTTTTAAAAGAGTGCATGCGGGAGGGGCGGGGGAAGGTCAGAGCAGGTGAGTGGGTTGGTAGGTGGCTTGGGATGTCTTGAGTCCATCGTGCTATTCTCTGGCAGGTGTCCTCGTTCAGATTTCCAAATAGTGACTTGTCTTTCCCTAGGAAGGGCTCAGGAGAGTGGTCTATCAACTCAGGCTTTGGTCAGGCTGCAGAGGGCTCCCCGTTCAGCCTCCTTGGGGTTGGTTATGTTTTTGTCCGTTTCTTTCTCTGCACCTCTTCCCTCGGATCAGAAAGCAAGCCCAGGCAGGTGGAGGAAGGATCTCTGCGTGGCATTGCCCGATCTAACCAGGGTGGCTGGCCGGCCCCCCTCCCTGTCCACGAGAGGGGGGCGCCAGCACGTGTCGGTATGAACTCAGGAATAGAAACTCGAGGCCTTTAAAATAAGAGGGAGGAAAATCCGTGATGCATACCTGGAAACCCCTGGAACCCAAGTGCCAGAATTAATTCCTAGATGCTGCTTCTGTGTGAACAAAAAGTCACTGCTTTTACACTTGAAAAAACACACTCGAAAAACATTCAACTCCATGAGAAATGTTTTTTGGCTTTAAGAAATTGTTTGGTGTTTACTGTTTTCTTTGGCTGCCATTCCTCTGGTAAATCGTTGGTTGATCTGCACTGTGCGCGGGCTGGCGTCGGGAAGGGCCCTCCTGCAGAGCCAGACTTGCTCAGGAAGGGGACCGGGAATGGGGAAGTCATCGACATTTCCCGGGGCATTGGGGTGGGAGGTGCCTCCTCACCCCAGGGGACCCATTCCGGCAGGCACCTGTCTCCCTGGCCCGCCACAAAGCCAGTCCTAGCTCTTTGCGCCGCATTTCCTCCCTGTCCCACAGCAGGCGGGGAAAGGGGGACAAGACCGGGCCTGTTTCTCCCGTTCCCCCCACGTTTTGCTGCGCCAAACCTTTCAGACTTTGCAGATCTACATCTTGGATTTCATCAATCAAGAACTTGTTCATGCAAACAGTTTGCTTTTCTGACTATAGAGGGAACAGTAGTGGTCTCCCAAGGGCATCCGGCGCTGCTGAGCTCCTTCTTTTTTAAAGGATGGCTAGGTGTGTAGCAGGCGATCCACCAGGTCCCTTCACCCCAGTTTTCAAGCTGCACTGCGTTAAACCCAGCTCGCCAGCCGACAGGGAGACGCCGCGCCCTAGTCCTCTGTGGGCCAAGAGACCCTGCGAAGCATTAAAAAGTAGTTGAAGTACATCACTTCTCCCCAAGCGGGTTAGTCAGTTGGCTGTTCGTCCCTTGTTTTTTGGTTTTTTTTTTTTTATTTATTCCATAATTATGTTTATACTTTTTATCTTGTAAAGGGTAACGGAACATACGTTTTAAATTTGCTTAGAAGAAAATTTTTGACCCATTCTTTCGTGAGCAGTTCTCTTTCTCGTTTCGGTGGGGTGGGGGGAGTCACGGCTCATTCGTTCCGACATAGCTAAGCATTCTTTGAGTTGCAGAATTGCGAGGCAGGGATCTGGGAGTGAGGCGCTCACGCGTGGGGGAGGACTTCTAGGTGTGGCTGCAGCAGAACCAGCGTGCATGTGTGCGTACGTGTAAGTAACCGCCTCCATCGTGCAGTGCCTTTTAGACGTTCCTCTTTCTATAAAGTCTTCAAATTTTTTGCATATATATTATATATATATATATATGATGTAATGTTATAGAAATATATGTATAATATACATATTTTTTCCAGGGGTATCTGATAGCTCTGTATTTTGTTATGGAAGTTGAAAGAGAAAAAGTATTTTACCTCAGAAATTAAAGTTAAATAAAAAAATACTTTGAAGTAACGCCTGCGGGGTGTCGGTGGTGTTGACGCGCCGGGGCGGTCGTGGCAGAGAACTCGCCGAGCCGCGCCCGCTCACCCTCCCTGCCCCCCACGCGTCCTCACGGGGCGCCGGCGCGGTGACGGGCAGGTCTGTTAACCGCCTCGGGGGCTGTCGAAACCCCGGCGGCAGCGGCTGCAGCCAGACAGAGGACAGCTGACGCCGGGGACACGAGTTCGTGGGGGGAGTCTTGACCTCGGGATTGTTGGGAGGGTCCGGTGAGAGTCTGTGGCGGGGGCGCCGGCCGGCTCAGCCGGTGGAGCCTCCGGTTCTTGATCTCGGGGTCGCGAGTTCAGGCCCCACGTCGGGCCTAAAGCTTACCTTAAAAAAAGGGAAGAAGTGCACGGCGAAGCCGGCCCCGTAGGCCGCGGGCTGTGCTGTGCGATTGCGTTTCTACGAAGCGTCCGGGAGAGGCGAGTCTGGAGACGCAGCCTGGCTGAGCGGCTGCGGGGAGGGCAGCGTGACTGTGACCCCTCGCGCGTTCCCAGAGGGACAGGAGCGCTCTGCAGTTGGCGGCGGGACTCGCACGACGATCTGTTAAAGCCCGCAGGATGGCGGTCGTTGCGAAGGGGTGAACCCCGTGGCTTGCGGTTGTACCTCCGTGAAGGCGGTTTTGTTAGCTTGTGGTTCCGCGGCAAGCTGGCTCCGGTTCCCGGAAAACCAGCGGAAGATGACCATCCGGAGGCAGGAGGGGAGCCCGTGGGATGTCGAATGTCCTGCCACACCGCCTGAGAAAAATGGTGCCACGCCCTGTAATCTCGTCGCCCCCCCCCCCCCCCCGCCCCGAGCTCCCCACGTTCGCAGAAGCCCGGCCGGGTGTTGGGTTTGACTTCCGCGAGAGGGTCCTGTGGGTCGGGAAGGCCCGGACGGAGGAGGTGCCGAGGCTGGCCCGCAGAGCCAGGGCGGATCGCAGGAGGTCTCAGGAGGGGCCTGGAGGGTTCACGTTCTCCCGGGCCGGCCGCGGCCACACCCCGTGTCTAACAGGAGTCGGGGCCGGCCTCGGAGCGTGGCAGTCCCGGCCTCGAGAGCCTCCCCCCCTCCCCCCACCGAGCCTGCTGGCACCCCTGCCCACGGAGAGCAGGGGAAGGGACAGTGACGAAGGTGGCTGCTCGAGGCCCAGAAGCAAACCCGGTCAGGCTGGGAGTGAGCGTGCGTGCAGACCCTGGAGCTGGGAGCCAGGCAGCTGGTCAGAACACGGTCGGTCGGTCCTGTGTCGCCGCCTCCGTGCACAGAACTGTGGGATTGCTAGATGCTGAGCAGAGAGAGAGGTGAGCGGGGCAAGGCGGCGGGAGGGGGAAGGGAGGGCTCAGCCCCTCGGGTGGGCGGGCTCCCGGTCACCTCCCTGTCCCACGCGCAGCCCCGCACAAAGCCTGCGTTGTAACCAGAGCAGTCGCCCGAGCCGGGCCTCCTGGCGTCGGCTCCTTTAAACACCCTGTGAGGCAGGTGCCGCTTGCTCCCATCGTGCCGAGGGGACACCGAGTCGCGCTGTTAACTGGTGCGGCCCCCCGTGCGAGCCCCACCCGTGCGCTCAGCCTCTCGGCCCTGCTGACCGAGGACACCCTCTTTTCCTCCCCCTACCCCTGGCCGGTGACATCTCATCCCTCAGAATTCCGCTCGCACGCCGTCGCCCTTCCCTGGCTCCCCTGAGGCGTCCCGTTGCCCCCGTGCCGGCCTCTGAACCACGGCCTCGCGCTGCCACCGGTGCCGTCGGTCTGGCCGCTGACAGGATGGTGGAGAAGCCGGGGGCCGGCACGTTGCCAAACCCTGAGGATGCTTGACAAGCGTTTGGTGGACAGACGGGAAGCAAGAGACGCGCGAGGGGTGTTCGCCTGGGGTAGGGGACACAGGCCTGGGATACAAAGACAGGCTAAGGGACGAGGGGACGGTGGCACTCGGAGGCATACGGTGTCTCTGTGACGAGCTTCCGGGCCCGGAGGAGTCCCCGTGCGGAAGGCGCTGTGCCCTGCGGCTCCCTCTCCCCCTGCCTCTTCACACTCTGGCTCCTCTCCCTGCAGCTGAGCCCCCCTCCCGGCAAACCTGCCTCTCCCCGGGGCACCGACACGTGTGTGCTGCAAACTCACGCCCACGTGGAACGTGAGCCGGAGGAAAATGAACCGAGACCCCTCCCACTAAGGCTGCTCCCTAAATAGCCCAGCGGGGTCTTTCCCTTCCCGCCCCTTTGGCCAGGATTGACTCACACGTTCCAGCTTCGCTCATTTGCCCCCGACCCTACAGAAAGAAATTTTTAAGAGTGTGCGAGAAGGCAGCTAAAAATCCCCAGAAGGCCTGCTGTGTAGACAGCCCCCACTCCGGCATCCCCTCCCAGTCGTGGTCCTGTGGCCAGCTGTGCTGAGCCCCAGAGGAGGGGAGGTGAGCTGGCGCTGGCCTTGCCCCCACAGCCGCCGCCGGCCCCCCCCCCCCCCCGCCGTTTTCCTGGCTAGGACATGGGCAGGTTACAGAACCTGCCTGTGCCTCAGTTTCCCTATTTTGTGGAGACCGAATGATGCACACAAAGCACTTAGTACTCAACATCATTTGTTGTAAAGATTTTATTTTTAAGTCATCTCCACGCCCAACGTGGGGCTCGAACTCACAACCCCGAGGTCAAGAGTGGCACCCACTGAGCCAGCCAGGCACCTCTCAAAATCACTCTTTTAATGAGACCGGATGTCTCCTCATTGAGGTGCGGCTCTGCCTTCATGCTCCTCTCCTCTGCAGGGCTGAGTGCCTTCTCGTCCCCCTTTGGCCCCTCGAGAGGATCCCTGGTTTGCAGATGAGAGAAAGGAGACCCGGCACGGGTGACCTGTCCCAGCCATTTAAACAGGTTTCCGGACTCCGAATCCCCAACTTGCCTCGGATCTCTGAGGCAAGAATGAACACACCGAAGGAAGTTGTGGGGGGACCCCAGCCTTGGTGTTTCTCCACTGTTGGGCCAGTCTGGAGCCCAGGAGGCTCTGGTCAGACAGGCTCCAGGGGCCGGGCTGCCTGCCGACCAGGGAGGGAGAAAGGTCGAAGATGGAACCCTTCGCCAGCGCAGACGAGCCGACCCGGAGGAGCAGTCCCCGGGGTCTCCGACCGCAGGCCTCAGGATGTGGGGGCGCGTCCGGGCAGACGACGGGGTGGGATGCGGCCCGGACACTGGACTGAGCCCGGACAAGAAGCCCAGGCCTCGGCCCGCGTCGCCGCCCCTCGCCTCGGCTGGCAGGTGCCCGTCCCAGCCAACTTCTATCCAAAGGCCGGTCTGCAACCAACCTTGGTCCCAGAGAGCTAACCGGCAGGGAGGCACAGGGCCTCGCCCCTGGAACCCTGCAGGGACCTCACCAGAGAGGGGTAGGGAGGAGGCAGGAGGGTGGAGGGACCCCTCCCTCCAGGAGGCAGAGAACAACGTTGAACCAGGGGTCCAGCGGTGGCCGGGCAGGACCCAAAGTTCCGTGTGTCGTTACGAATTGCTTCCCCTCCCCCATCCCTCCAAGTGACATAAACAGGTGAGAGGGTGGGCAGCCGGCCTCACCTGGTGTTTTGAGATGTGTCGTCTTTGTGTGACGTTTGTCCTCTTGGCAACTGGCGGAAGGAAAGGGGAGGGGAAACGGGCCGGTGGTGTTGCTCTCCATTCGTGCCACCACAGGTAACGAGGTCTGTTCACTGTCCTGCTCCCGGCCCGGCTGGAAAGCGTCTGCATCCGTGCTTGTTCAAGCTCTGGCCTTCTGCTGCCCAGCTCCGCCCGACCCCCGTGTCGAAAATAACACCACCGTCTTGTCCAAATCCACAGACTTGCCCCCTGCAGAAAGTACTTATGATTGTCCCCATTTTGCAGACGAAGGAAGCAGAGGTCGAGGAAGTCAAGTGAGTTGCCCAAGGTCGACTCTGCTGTCGAGGAGCCAAACCAGGACTCAGCCTGAACTTCCGACCCCGAAGTCCGTGCGCCGCCCCCCACCCCCACCCCCCCCGCCTCTCAGCCGTGACACACAGAGCCTAGAAGCTGGAAGGAGAGCAACGGGGTGGCTTCAAAGAGGTCCCTGATGTCCCTAAGGGGACTTGTGGAATCAGGAATCAAGAATGCAGGGGGCTCTTCTGGAACAAGCTCCGGGCCACATGGCGCAGTCAGTTGTTCACCCACAAAACACGTGGCGGCCCATGCGTGCCTACAGCAGGTCCCCGCTCTCTGGGGACTCCTGGTTTGGCCCGGGAAACAAGCTGACATGATGAACTGACGGTGGCCTGGTGACAGTAGCCATGCATGTATTCAACTAGCCTTTTCTGAGTGCCTGCCGCATGCCAGGCTCTGTCCTGGGCTTTCAAAGTCAAATAAAGATGCTCCTTACCCACCAGGAGCTTCCCCCTGGGTGGGGTCCCCGCAGACGCAGGCCACCCCCCACGGTGCCACCGCCTTCCCCAGCAAGCTGCAACTTTCCTGGCCCGGGGAATTTTCAGTACTGACCGGGCAGGCAGGAACTCAGGTGTTCCCACAATACTCGGGGAGTTCCCACTCTCCCCACGCCCCTTCTGGAAAGAACCAGAGCCTCGAGTGCCCCTTC